GGGAAGGAGGAAGTTGAGGAAGGGGAAGATCTGGGGGAGGATTGCAGATATGCTCGAAAGTGTTGGAAAGTCTGGGAGCCTTGCGATGGCTCCCCGATGCGCCTGGAGATGGGGGAGGAAGAAGAAGAGGCAGAGGAAGGGGAACTGGTGGGAGGTGCGAAAGAAGGAGGACAGCGAGGAAGATGTGGTGGATGGGTTCCACTGACTTGGCGGGGTTGGGTTTGGGAAGTCTCCACAGGATCCCATGTGTCCCCGCAGGCAAAGGAGGCACAACAGCAATAACTCAACGCTGTTGGGGGAGCAGGAAGGGAGAGGACTCGGAGGGAAAGGGACGAGAGTTATGGAGATGAGGACGAAGACCACCAGTGGGGAACCCAACAGGTGCCGATACTGCTACTCCCCAGAGCTCTCCCGGTCTGCGTTCTGACCAGAACTTCGAGGCGAATCCAGCGGTGGCGACGAGGGCCTCCCAGGAGGCCCCAAAACGGGCGAACCAAGGGATGGAAGGGGAGCGGCACGGGTACCTTCTCCCCCTCTGAGCGAGGACGAGGACGCGCCATGAGCGCGAGGCGGAGGCTGCACCCACACCGTCCCCCCTCCCATGCACCGGCACGCCGCGCGGGCCCCGCCCGCGATCAGAGCAGCAGGCTGCTCCGCCGCTTCGCCGCGGACCGCTCGCGGGAGGAGACCAGGCGGTCCACGAGCGCGCCACGCCTGGCCGCGGCCGTCTTTCTGGTTCCCCCAGCACGGGGGCAGCACCGGCCCCATGCAGACATGCTCGCGTCGTGAAAAAAAAAATCCGGACGGGCGGCTGTTCGCTATACTTCCGGCCCCCCATATAGGGGCCCTCGCCGGCCCCCGGGGCCGTCGACGATACGACTATTGGGATGGAAAACCGGCCCCTGGGAAAGGGCCTGGACTTGGGGCACGTCTGTTGAGTCGGGCCTGTCCCCCTGCAGGGGGATTCTCAACGAAAAATAAAAACTATCCCAGCAAAGCAACCTAACAGCGATGTGTATAAGCATATCTGGAAGCATTCCCCTTAAGATTCAGGTGAGAATCCAGTTGTAGAATTCTGCTGTTCTCGCAGTCGCAGTCGCATTCGCAATGACAATCACAGTGGCAACGGCCTCAGGATCCAATGGAATCCTAAGGATTCCTAGGGATTCCTAAGGCATCCTTAGGCATCCTTAGGAATCCATAGGAATCCTTAGGAAACCTTAGGAATCCTGATTCCTAGGGATTCCTTGGGATCCCTAAGGATTCCTGAGGATGCTTAACTATGCCTACGGATTCCTAAGGATGCCTACGGATTCCTAAGGATTCCTAGGGATTCCTAAGGATTCCAATGGATTCCTACGGATGCCTCAGCCTGCCTCAGTTTCAGCCTCAGCCTCAGCCTGCCTCGGCCTCAGCCTCAGCCTCAGCCTCAGCCTGCCTCGGCCTCAGCCTCAGCCTGCCTCAGCCTCAGCCTCAGTTTGCCTCGGCCTCAGCCTCAGCCTCAGCCTCAGCCTGCCTCAGCCTCAGCCTGCCTCAGCCTCAGCCTCAGCCTCAGCCTCAGCCTCAGCCTCAGCCTGCCTCGGCTTGCCTCAGCCTCAGCCTCAGCCTGCCTCCGCCTCAGCCTCAGCCTGCCTCAGCCTCAGCCTCAGCCTCCCCGCCTCCCCCCCCTTCCGCCCCCCCCATTCAGCCTCACCTTGTCTCAGCTTCGGCCTCGGCCTCGGCCTCATCCTCAGCCTCAGCCTCAGTCTCAGCCTCAGCCTGTCTCGGCCTGAGCCTGCCTCGGCCTCAGCCTCAGCCTGCCTCAGCCTCAGCCTGCCTCACCATCAGCCTCAGCCTGCCTCAGCCTCAGCCTGCCTCGGCATCAGCCTCAGCCTCAGCCTCAGCCTGCCTCGGCGTGCCTCGGCCTCAGCCTCAGCCTGCCTCGGCCTGAGCCTCAGCCTCAGCCTGCCTCGACCTCAGCCTCAGCCTGCCTCAGCCTCAGCCTGCATCAGCCTCAGCCTCAGCCTGCCTCAGCCGCAGCCTGCCTCAGCCTCAGCCACAGCCTCAGCCTCAGCCTGCCTCAGCTTCAGCCTCAGCCTCAGCCTGCCTCGGCTTGCCTCAGCCTCAGCCTCAGCCTGCCTCGGCCTCGGCCTCGGCCTCAGCCTCAGCCTGCCTCAGCCTCAGCGGCAGCCTCTCAGCCTCAGCCTGCATCGGCCTCAGCCTCAGCCTCAGCCTCAGCCTGCCTCAGCCTCAGCGTCAGCCTCTCAGCCTCAGCCTGCATCAGCCTCAGCCTCAGCCTCAGCCTGCCTCAGCCCCAGTCTCAGCCTGCCTCAGCCGCAGCTTGCCCCTTCCTCAGCCACAGCCTCAGCCTGCCTGAGCCTCAGCCTCAGCCTGCCTCGGCGTGCCTCAGCCTCAGCCTCAGCCTGCCTCGGCCTCAGCCTGCCTCGGCCTCAGCCTGCCTCAGCTCGGGCATTCAAAATATGGCACAGGACGTGTGTTCTGGGAACACGAAGAACGCGAAGTGGCTTACAGCTGGCTCCGTGCATTCAAAATGTGGTCTGGGAATGGTGTTCTGGGAACACGAAGAACACGAAGTGACCTACAGCTGGCTCCGGGTATTCAAAATGTGGCCTGGGAACGGTGTTCTGGGAAGACGAAGAACACGAAGTGGCCTTAAGTTGGCTCCGGGCATTCAAAATGTGGTCTGTGAATGGTGTTCTGGGAACAGAATCTGTAGGAGTCCACCTGGGGAGTCCAGATGCTCTCCTTTGGACCCCACTAGAAACCCATCAGTCTTCGCTGTTAGGTCAATGCTCAACAACTGCTCCAAAATGAACAAAAAAAATGCTCAAAACATAGTCCCCGGACTATTTGTTGACCATGTTTGGGGTATTTTTGATTTTTCGTCGAAACTCCTTCTGCAGGGGGACACGCCCGGCCCCTGGGAAAGGGCCTGGACTTCCAGCACGTCTGTTAAGTCGGGCCTGTCCCCCTACAGAGGGACTTTCGACGAAGAATAAACAATACTCAAAACATTCTCCAAAATAGTCCCCGGCCTATTTTTGAACTATTGTTTGACTATTTTGGGGGGTATTTTTGATTTGTCGTCGAAAATCCTCCTGTAGGGGGGCACGCCCGACATAGCACCGCCTGGGGCGGGGAGGCGGCGCGAGCCGTGGGCGTCCCGTCCCGGAGGATCCGGGCGGGCGGGCGGGACCAGTCTTATAAGTCGGGCCTGCCCCCCCACAGGGGGATCTTCGACGAGAAATACACAATACCCCCAAAATATCCCAAAATAATCCACCAGTCATCTGGGGACTATATTTTTAGGATTTTTTGACATTCTTGGCGCACATCTGGGGTATGTTTCTTTTTTCGTCGAAAATCCCCCTGTAGATCCCCCTGTAGGGGGACACGCCCGACATAAGACCAGTCGAGCGCGGGCGGGGGGGGGGGGGCCCTCCGGCACGCGGGCGTGCCATGGACCCCAACGGGCGGGCGCCGGGCGGGCGGGGCCCGCAGAGCAAGGGAGGGAAAACCACCCAGACCAGACCAGTGGCGTTTACTGTGAACAGCCCCGGGCGCTCCCTGAGCAGCCCTGCCCTGTTCGGTTCCTTCTTGGGGCGCGTTTGCTGAGCGACTCCGCGCGTCGGGGTGGTGATGATAGCGGGGGAATTGCAGCTGGGGCGTTGACCCAAGGAACCCTAGATAAGGAACGAGGCCCCTTGTTTCTCCCACAAGCTAAACTCCGATGTTCCAGGGAAAACCTCCGGAAAACCCGAGGAGCACTGCAAAACAACTGAGGAACACGGAGCCCCTCCCAAACGAAAAGGGTTCCTCGGCTACTCGCAAGAGTGACCCTGGGCAAGAGTGACCTGTGGTGCGCGGCTTTCGGGGGGCCGCGGGGAGACCAAACCTGGGCGCGCAAGCCCCTGCTACCGCTTCGCTTTCAGCCATCTGAGGGCCCACCTGTGCCCGCACCAAAGGTCACTCCGGCGAAAGGTCACTCTTACGTCTAGTCGACTGGAAAACCACAGGGAAACCCAAGGGCACTGCAAAACAAATGAGGAACACGGAGCCCCTCCCAAACGAAAAGGGTCGGCGGTGGACGAACCTCCGTTTAGCAAACCTGCCCTTGGTGAAAACGGCCTGGGACCGAAACCGACGGACCTGGACCCGCCAAAGTCACGGCCGCGACGCCCTCTCGCGAACCGAACACGGCCCAATTCCTCAATCGACGCGTCAGGGCAGGAGGTCTGCCCACCCCCGAAACGGACGAAGACGGAGCCCCTCCCGAACGAAAAAGGCTTCCTCCTTTTCAGCGCCAGCCCCAGGCGCGCAAGCCGCTGCCACCGCTTCGCGCTCGGCGATCGGGGGGGCCCCCGCTGGGCCCGCACCAGCGGTCCCTCCGGCGCAAGGAGGCAGCGCGGGCAAGGTCGGCGCGGGCGGCGCGCCCGGAGAGCGGAAGCGATTGAAGGGGCGGGCCCTCCCAGAAGGCTCGGAAGCTGCCCGGCCGTGTGAAAAGCTGTCTACGGCTTCCCCGCCCTCCTCCTCCTCCTCCTCCTCCTCCTCCTCCTCCACCTCAGACACAGAGCAAACCTCTCAGGAGGCGCGAGGGCTTCTGAGAAGACCCCCCGCCTTCCGGGAGGGCCTCTTCTCCTCCTCGCTTCCCGACGTTGGTCTCTGACACTGCGGGGATCGTTCAACCTTTAACGATCGGCCGTTTCCGAAACGTCCAAATCGTTCCACATCGAACGATTCTGGATCGCCCGCGGCGTTCAAAGTTGGACGCCGCTGGCGGGGTCGCCGCTGGTGGACACGACGCGAACCCACCGTACGCCTTCCCCGCAGACACAGCGCCAACCTCTCAGGAGGCGCGAGGGCTTCTGAGAAGACCCCCCGCCGTCCGGGAGGGCCTCTGCTCCTCCTCGCTTCCCGCTGCCCCCCCTTGCTCGCCGCCGACTGCGTCCGGTCGGAGGCGGCGCCGTCCTCCTCCTCTCCCCCCCGCGGGGCCTCCAGCTCTAGCGCGCGCGCGAGGACCCCTTCTTGATGGCCTCGAGGATGGGCGGGAACTCGGAGCCTCGGCAGGCGCCGTCCGTCGCTCGGGGGGGTGGCCTCCCTCGGCACGCGCGCCCCCCCCCGCTCCCCTTCCTCTCTCGGCCCCCGGCGCCGCCTGGCAAAGATCGAGACAGCATCCGAGACCGCACGCATACAGTAGGGGGCTCGACCACAAGAGACCTTCCACAAGAAACCCGACCCGGAGACCCCGGGACGTCCGCTGACTGCTGATGTGCGGGAATGAGAGCAGGGTGTTTCTTGGCACGGGTCTCCACTGCAAGAAGGACGCGCGGCAAGGATGCGAGGGCCCCTGCGGGGCCACGGCGACACTCTGCGGGGCGGGGGGCGCGGCCCGCGAAAGGCGGCCGAGGGCGAGCCACAGGGGAAGCCTCCTCCTCCTCCTCTTCCTTCTCCTCCTCTTCCTTCTCCTCCTCTTCCTCCTCATTTTTCCCTCCCTCCTCCTCGTCCTCTCCTCCTCCTCCTCCTCCTCCTCCTCCTCCTCCTCCGGGATGCGAGGGTACCCTTGGAAAGTCGCTCACCCTTGCTATGCGGGTTGACTGTACAACGAAAACGTGGGAGAAGGCTCAACACAAACGAGAAGGTTGGAGGGGAGGAGCGTTGGGGGCAAAGGGGGGGGAGAGGCTGAGGAGGTCGGCCGCTCGGAGCGTGTCGACCGTCGGCTAGCCGCGTTGCCAACGCTCTGCGGAGGAGATGGGCCATAGATGGATATTGGCTGGGAAGCGGGAGGAGACCAGAACCCCGCCAGAGCCTGCAAGGACCTCTAGACTGGAGACGGGGGCGAGCAGCTTCAGTGGCGGGGCAATGAACCCAAAAGGACGAGTAGAAACAAGGGAAAAAAGGAGGAGAGAGCCTGACGAACGAACTCCCCTTTCCCAATACGATGGGGGGGCAGATGTACAGCGAGCGGCAAACCGGGGTCCGTGCCTCAGGCGGACCCCTCGCTCGTAGACTGCCACCGACGCTCTGCAGCTTGCCTCGCCTGTCGGCCCAAGAACAAGCGCAGAGAAAAAAAGCACGCAAGCCTTCACCGCGAGGGTCTTCCTGGTGATGTGGTCCCCCTGTTTGCGGAATCCCCCCGCCCGAGACGCCTGCAATCTCCAGCTCAGGGAGGCATCGTGGACCTCCTTGCTGGAGGTGACCAGCTGGTGATGGTGTCGCTTTTCCTCACTGCTGCAGCGCTGCTGGAGGCGCTCCATCGCCATCAACAGTCCAGCCTTCTCCCCAAGGCTCAAGCCTCCTGAACACTAGCCGAGGGAGAAAGAGAGGAGGAGGCGGAAGAGGGTAAACAGCCGCCCGGCTCCCAGCGGTAGTCTGAAGAACGCGGCGAAATCGTCGCAATGAGCTGCTGAGGCGGTCTAGGATGCACGTGGAGCGCTCGTCAGTCGAGAATAAATCAGACGAGGAGTCCCGGGTCTCGCCGCCGCCAGGTCATACTCCTCGACCCGCTCCTCTTCCTCCTCCTCCTCCTCCTTCTCCTCTTCCTCCTCCTGCTCCTCCTGCTCCTCCTCTTACGTCCCATGTCCTTGTAAATAACAGCTTCACTTTGCACTCCCAAGAGCGTCGTTATGTCGGGCCGGGAATCCCGCCCGAGACTTCCTCGCCATGTGCGGTCCTGAAGCCTGAAAACTGCGACAGTTTCCATGATAGTGGGGGGTCGCGTTCAAAATTAATCTCTCGCCTAAGTGCGGTGCACATTCGTCGTATAAGCTTGCAGCAGTTTCAACGATGGAGGGCAGGTGGTTTTCAACATATGGCTCTATACATAGGGCCGCGAACATTCGTTTCCAAAGTTTGCAACGGTTTCAAACATGGAGGGCGGATTTTTTTCAAAACGTGGTTCTCGCCTTAGCGACGTGCACATTGAAGTTGAGCGGCTGAACGGTTTAAGTCCCAGGAATGGTAGTCTGGCACGGTTTAGGATTGTCATAGCGCAACAATCCGCTTGATTTGCGGTGTTGAAGTCCCAGGAATAGCGCTCTGGCACGACTTAACATTACGAGGGCGCAACAATCATGTTGGTTCACGGCGTTGAAGCCCCGGGAACTTCGTTTTGGCACGGTGGGCGATTCTCAGACTTTAGTCGTCCGGCACGGCACTCCCCGCAATGAAAGAAATCATACGTAAACACCTGTAGAAGGAACTTGGAGAGAAGTTTAACATCAACATCGTTGACGCGTGTTGGTTTTACACTGGTGTTCCTTATCATTTTCTCATTCTCCTCATTATCCTCTCCTCCTCCTCCTCCTGCTTCTCCTCCTCCTCCTCCAGGAGACGTCCCGAAGACGCACGAGGGCAGAACATGCCGACAACGTTGGAGCACGGAATGGAAACCCGTCTTTTTGAGCTCGAGGACTTTCGGCCTCGGGTCGCCTGGACAGCCTTTCCAGGAGGCCCAGGAGTGCGAGGCCTGGGCGCGTATCCGTCGCCAGGGGCACGGATCTGCCCGGACCCAAGGGGGGGGCGGTGGATGTGGACGCACGCACTTCGGGCCACAGGGCGCCCGAATCCGCCGCTGTGCCCCGTGCGTGCCACGCACGCTGAGGCGTGGTAGCATTTCAGGTGCTGTCCGGCAGGGCTCCTGAGATCTTCTGCAGAGGCCCGCAGACAGGCCAGGATGCCACCACAAGAGGCCACAACAAAAAACACCAGGAGGCACGAGAACAGCAGCGAAGCGAAGCAGGACCGCTGTCGAGCGCCGTGTCCTGGAGGCTGTCGGGACAGCAGGGCGGGGCAGGGCGGGGTCGGGCCCCGGACCTCTGCCTCGTGCGACGGTTTGCGGCAGTGCGCCCTGTGGGGGGAGCGCCACCTGCTCGGAGCAGGCGCCGGGAACAGCCAAGAGCTGCTCCATGGGGGGGGGGGAGGGGGGGCGTGCGAGTGCCCGCGCCGATCGAGCCACGAGCAGCAGGAAGGCGTCGGACGAGCCTCGCGAAAGGCAGCCCGGGAGGCGCAGCAGCTCACACAGGGGGCGGCGGAGGTGGCGCAAGCCCATCGAAGCTTTCGAGAAGAGGCCCGCCCGCCCCCTCGCCGTGCGCAGAAAGCGCGGGCGCGTCGGCCCCCCCAAAACCCCGAGGCCACGAGCTTCTGCAAGTCTACGCCGGGGCCGCGCCCCCGAGGGGCCACGGTGGACCCCCTCGTGACAAGTATTAAGTCGGGCGTGTCCCCCTACAGGGGCCTTTGCGACGAAAAACAAAAATAATACCGAAAAAATACTCCCCAAATGGGCAAACAAACATTTTCAAAAATGGTCCCCAGACTATGGTTTGACTGTTTTTGAATATTCCTCCTGTAGAGGGACAGGACCGACTTAAGACAAGTACAGGCTCACACTCGCGAGCTTCCACGACGGCTTAAGCAGGCAGCCGAGGCCGCCAAGATGGTACAGGATGCCTCCAGGGCGGCCCACGGTGGCCCCCCAAATGGCCCGACGTGCCGAGAGGGCCACAAAACGACGTCCAGCACGGCCCGAAGAGAAGTCCAAAGCATTGGTGCGCCTGTGATGCTTGACAGGTCCCCAGAGGTCTCTACAGGTCTCTGCAGAGGCGGATAACGATTCTGAGGAGGACGAGGAGGAGGAGGAGGAGGAGGAGGAGGAGGAGGGCGGGGGAATGTTCGCGTTCTCGCGCCTTCGGGCGTCCATCAGCTCCAGACGGCTCGATCACCTCCTTTTTGGCCCCAAGGCGGCTCAAGATGCCCCACGAGGGTCCGAAAATGGCATCCAGGACGGCCCCCAAACGGCCCAACAGACTTGGGCAGCCCAAGACGGCGCCAAGACGGCCCCACGACAGCCCCAAGACACCCCCCATACGACCAAGAGGGCCCCAGGATGACCCAAAAGAGCCCCAAGACGGCCAAGGAGGGCCCCAAGGCGGCCCAGACGGCTCAAGAGGGCCCCACGACGGCGCAAGGGACCCCACAGACTGCCCCACAGGAGCCCAAGATAGCCCGAAGACGACCCAATGAGCTCTTTGAGAGCTCCTCAAAAAGAGAGAGAGAGAGAGAGAGAGAGAGAAAAAAAAAAAACAAAAAAAAAAAAAAAAAAAAAAAAACGACTGGTGTGACATGTGACGGCCTTCCTTTTCCTCCTCCTCTTCTTTTCCTTGGCGCGTCGCCAAAGCCAGGTTCCTGTAGGCGTCCGACGGCAGGCTGGCGAACACTCTTTACACAGAAGATTTCAGAGGGGCTCAGTGGCATTGCCACCAGTTTAGCCAGGGCCGAGGGATCGCCCGAAAGGGTGCGACCTTGCCTTGGCGTGGGACTGGACGCCCATGGGCAGTTTTGTTCCGCGTCGCCGCGCAGCCGCCCGCCGCCGCCGCTGCTCGCCGAAGCAAACGGGGGGGATACGGAAGAGGGCAGGCCAGGCGGTCACATATTCAAGAGCCGGTCAGCAAGCTACTCCGGCCCCCTGCTCCTAGCCGTGGGTGGCATATTTCTGGAACCAGGAGGGAGGGAAAGCTCGATGATGACGAGCAGCGCAGCAGGGAGGAGATCCGGAACCAAGCAAATCGCACGGAGGGGGAGGGGGGGGAGCAGAGCGGAGAATAAGATCATGCGGCCAAGGGCGGGGCGTGGACGAAGACGGCGCAGAAGGGGGGGGAAAGGGGAAGATCAGTGCGGGCGAACAGCGCAGGAGGGAGGAGATCGAGAGCAAGGCTGGAGAAGAAGATCAAGCGGCCACGGGCTAGACCTCCCGCTCCAATCACGAGGGCCCAGGAGCAGGGGGGGGAGGCGAACCGAGCAGGACGACACCAAAAGGCGGAGGGGGGGGCCACAAACAGAGGGGAAGCCCAGCGCGCCCCGCCGCGTGCCCCCTCCTCCTCCTCCTTCTGCCTCTCGGGCCTCCTCTCTCCTCCTCCTCCTCCTCCTCCTCCTCCTCCTCCTCCTCCTCCTCCTCCTGCCTCTCGGGCCTCCTCCTCGTCACCATCTCCCTCGTCATCCTCATATCACAGCTCCCTCAAGCGTGGGGACGTGGCGGCATCCCGTGCCCCCTCGAACGGGCACCACCCCGAGTGCCAGTTTTGGCTCAGCGGCGTGGCTTGCCGCATCCGCACCCACCGCCTCACGAGGTCAAGGAAGATCGGTTCCCCATGCGAGCGATTTTTTATTCGGCGTTTGGACATTGGGCGGAAAGGGGGGGGTCTGCCTCCGGACCTCTGCTAGTACGACTGTTTGCAACAGTGCGCCCTATGGGGGAGACTCCACCCGCTCGGAACAGGCGCCAGAAAACAACCATTATTACTCCATGGGGGGGGGAGGGCGGGTGCGAGTGCCCGCGCCGATCGGCAAAACAAGGAATAGCAAAAACGATCGCATGCGGTGGGCGTGTTTCCATCTCAGCCTCGGAAAGATCGGGCCGGGCCAAAGGGGGGGATAGCAAAGCGGGGGGGGTGGGGAGAATCAGCTCACGCAGCTGACCTTCCCGGCGCCTCCCGGCGCCGGAGGCGGCCACGCATCGAGGAATGGGCCCCTCGGTGGGGCCGAAACCAGCTGCATGCAGCAAATTTCGCAACCCAGGGCTAGGATCAGGATAAATCGCTCCAGAGCGTTCCGGAGCGCTCTCAGAGCGTTCCGGAACGCTCTGGAGCGGCCGCGGCGCCCAATACATCCTCCAAAGCCGCCGATTCTCAGAGATTTCGAGTTATCCCGATCCGATTTTGTCCCGATCTTCGCGTCGTTTTATAACCCCCCCTTTCCCAATCCCCTCCTTTCGTCGGGCCCGAGAAAGAGCCGCCGAGACGGCCCGAGCCCTCCCACGAGCCGAGCCCGTCGCAGGCGGAGGACATGTCGATCAGGAACCGCACGAGCTCGGCCGTGGCCGCGACCACGCCGACGGCCCCCTGGGCGCACAGCGCCTGCGTGTTGATGCCCAGCGCGCAGTGCGAGATCGCGCTGGCCACGAACGCGCCTGGGGCGAGGGAGCGCCACGTCGGGCCAGAGGGACGGATCAAGAAGCGACGAACTACCAGACCACCCCAGCCCAACCCGAAGATCCGAATTTCGGGTTGGGGGGGGGGTACGGGTTCAATCCGTGTTTTCTCAAAATGTCCCCCGACCCCCCACACTGGAAATGGAGGGCGAATTGAAGCCTTCGGGTGGGATTGGGGCGGTTTGGTGGATGGCGAAGAAAAGCGAAAAGCTGCCTGAGCAGCAGGAGCAGAGTCCTTTTGAGGGCATTTTGGCCATCTCGAAGCCCTCTTGGGTTATCTTCAAGTCATGCTTGACTAATGTTGAAGCGCTCTTGTGCGGCCTTGGGCTCTCTTGGAGCGCTCTTAGGCCATCTTGGCGCCCTTTTGGACGTCTCTCGGCCCCTGCTGACGATTTTTGGCGCCCCCTCCTGGGCCCGAAACGGCCGGAAGACAAATCAGTGTACTGTGTGGGCCCCGGGACCCGCTACCCATATGTACATACATATATATATATATATATATATTCACATAAATGTGTATCTGTATATATGTGTATATGTCTATGTATATGGTATATGTATATGTGTATGTAAATGCATATGGAATTGTGTTTGTATATGTTTGTGTATACGTATGTGTACATGTATTTGTGCATGTAGATGTAATTGCACATGTAAACGTACATGTAAATGTATATGCATATGTATGCGTAAATTTAGATGGGTATGTATATGTGTGTATGTTTATGTATATGTGCATTAGATGTAGATGTATATGTATATTAAACGCGTGTGGATATATTTGTGTATATGCACATGTCGATGTATACTTATACGTATATGTTTGTGCACATACATATACATGACCATACATAGATATATGCATGTATATATATATATATATATACATCTGCCTATGCGCGTATACTAGTGTGGAATAAGGACGGGTAACGGATGAATCATTAGCTGGGAGGAGGAGCGAATAAGCAAGCGTAAAGTCCAGTCCTCTATGAGTAGGTTCACTTGGATGAAGAGAGAGAGAGAGAGAGAGAGAGAAAAAAAGAGAACTTGAAGGAACAGAAGGGCAGGATTGAATGCGCAGTCTGCTGGAACGCATCACCGTGTTAGCACTCCCGAGCGCCCACGTTGAAGAGGCTGGAGATGATTTCCATCACTGCGCCTGCGCAGATATTGTTGTTCAACTTCTCCACCTGAGCCGCGACCGCACACCAAGATAATTTCCGAGCCCCCCGGCCCCAACCGTGTCCGGCAACATACAATGAGAAACAAGGGAAGCTGCAGATGCCACAACATGATTCGTAATGACCTGGGCTGGAAAACTGGCCAAGGATGCAACAAATCCGCGAGGTTTGGAATACCGTGAGCAGGCCTGGAAAGTTTGCCGAGACCGAAAACAGCAAGACAGCGGAAAGACTGGTCCGAACTATACCTGTTGCAACGTCCGTGTTGGCTGACCCGAGACCCGGAAGCGCTCCAGCAGCACACGCACGCACACACGCACACACACACACACACACACACACACACACACACACGCACACACGCACACACGCACACACGCACGCACGCACACACGCACACGCACACGCGCACGCCCCCCCCCCCCGCTCCCGGCAGGCCGCCCAGCGGCTCCAGGATGCCACGCAAGACGCCTTCCAAGCAGGACAGGAGAGGAAGAGGAAGGCGCAGGAGCAGGAAAGGCTCACATAGGACAACAGAAGCGGGAGAACGCGCGCCGGAACGTGCCCGGAGTGCACGCCTCGGGCCCGCAACCGCTCTCAACGCCTCCTCCGGGGGCCGCCAAGAGTGGGCCGCTGCCGCCGGATCCTGCTCCTGCTCCCGAGAAGGGCAGAGGCGCTCAGAATCCGCAGTGCTGGATGCCTGCGAGCGAGCGCCAGCGCCAACAGAGGGGCGGGGGGGCCTCCACAGGGGGGGCATGATCCTGGATGCCGGCGCTGATGGCAACAGTTCGGCCACATGGGAAGCCGGAGTATTACCACCGGTAGTTCGGCCACCTATAGGAAGCGAGAGCATTACCCACCATCGCCGAAATCGGGACCACCTTCCCTCGGTAGAGGCACGCCGCCGACATCGGCGTTGGCGTCGACCTCTGGGCCTCGGACACTATGGACATCCTCGGGCGGGGGGGAGACCCCCACGGCGGCGGCAGCCGCGGCGGGAGGCCGCGGCGCTCCGCGCGGGTGGCGCACACGGTCGGACCTGGGGCGGAAGAGCATGCCTCAAGAGCATGAGAGCCTCCGCCAGCCCAAGCACCCCACACCATGAGATCACTCGAGGGTGCCCTCCCCCAGGATGCACAAGAGCAGCCAACGAACGCGAGGAACACTCAGGGTTAGGCCGGGCATGCCCTCAAAATCAGAGTGAGGGGGCCGAGCGGTCATTCATTGTCCCTGGGTGCGTGGCTGCAGTGGTGATCCGTGGAGAGGATTCTGCTTGTTGCGTTGCTGCGTTGTTGTTTGTTCGCCGCCATCGTCACAACCGCGACCCACCCCGCGACCCACGCACGACCAACCACGCGACCCACCCCGCGACCCACCCCGCGATCCACCCGCGACCCAACCTCGCGACCCAACGACCCCCGCGACCCACCCCGCGACCCATCCGCGACCCACCTGCGACCCAGCCGCGACCCACCCCGCGACCCACCCGCGACCAACCCCGCGAATAATCCGCGACCCACCCGCGACCCAGCCGCGACCCACTTGCGACCCACCCGCGACCCACCCGCGACCCACCGACCCACCCGCGACCCACCGACCCACCCACCCGCGACCCACCCGTGACCACCCCGCGACCCAACCGCGACACAGCAGCGACCCAGCCGCGACCCACCCGCGACCTACCCACATTGGTTAACGAAGAAAACGGCGCCTGCGGCGGGCTCATTGTATAATGTATGAAGATTTGGCGCCTGCGGCGGGCTTCTCCAGACTCTCGCAGACTGCCGACGTCCCCACCGCCCCCTCACACTTATCCGCTTCTGCGGGGGGCCACGTGTTCACAAAACTAACATAACAAAAAGAGAAACAAATCGTCCCTGGACTGCTATGATGTAAAAATATGTTTGAACATTTCTCCCGTAGAGTTGCGAATGCCACGACAATGGACACCCTAACAGCCTCATCATTGAACTTAATATTCGTTTACCATGTCGGAAACATGTCCTAAGCATGTTTCAAACATGTCGTTTACCTGTTTAAACCATGCTCAACACATGTTGTAGACGTCTGGAAACAACTTGGCACCATGCTTCCTCTCCATTGATGTAGGGGAACAAAAAGTGTCATAAACGTAAAAACTCTGAGGTCCGCGTGGATTTCTCGGATCGGCGCTGGACAGGGTAATACCCAGGGTAATACCCATCGTTGACGCGCATCCTGTGTAATACCCATGGGGACGAGAAGAGTATACCCAGTGGGTATACTCTTGTCGTCCCCCCCCCTCCTCCTCATCCTCCTCCTCCTCCTCCTCCTCCTCCTCCCTCTTCCCTCCGTCTCCCCCTCCTTCCCCTCCCCCTCTTGCGACGACGACGACGACGACGACGACGACGACGACGACGACGACGACGACGACGGACGACTGCTGACGATGGCGTCTGCCAGGAACGCGGCTGGGCCCCCGGCCCCAGGAAGGCTCTTCAGCGAGTCCTGCAGGGGGCAGCCCTTCGCGGCCTTCTGGATGGCGACGCCCATCTGCGCCAGGTACGCGGAGGCCTGGCCCCCGAGGAAGATGAGGGGAGAGGGACGGAAGAAGAGGGAGGGAGGGGGGGGGAAAGGGAGGAGAGAGGGAGGAAAAGCAGGGAGGGGGGAGGGAGGAAGAGGAGGGAGAGAGGGAGGGAGGGAGAGAGAAGGGGAGAGGTGGGGAGGGGAGCGAGAGGAGGGAGGAAGGGAGGGAGGAATGGAAGGGAGGGATGGGAGGAAAGGATTTGGATGGATGAGTTGCCCATTTTGGGGGGTCTCCTACCAGGAAGGGGGGCATCGCCGCCGAGGGGCCAGGCACTCAGGCGAAAGGCACATCTAAGTGTAAGTCGGGGACGTCCCTCTACAGGAGGAATAATCGAGAGCAGTGAATAAATAATATGGGGACGATGCTCGTTTTTTTATGATATACTACTATTTATTGTGTCGTATGGCAATTCTTAATAGTTTCATAGTATGGCTTCTGATTGTTTACTTACTTTTTCCGATGATATACCTAAATATGTTCCCTGTCTTATTCTTCCTTACAAGAACTACGTCTTACGATTGTTTCCTTTTCTATAAGTTTCTTTCACAAAATCCGCCTACAGGAGGACGTGCCCGAACTAATCTAAGTCCTGATCAACGGCCGGACCTGCCACAGAAGAACACCCTTCAGGAACGTGAGGCCCTCCTCCGCCGGCCTAACTTCGGCGGCGAGCGAAGGGGGGGAAATGAGAGGGAGAAGGCCTTCCCAGAAGGCGGCGGCACTTCTCAGAAGCCCCTCGCGCCTTCCGAGAGGTAATCTGCGTCTTCGGGGGAGGCTTAGAAAAACTTCTCAGAAAGCCGGGGGGCTTCCGAGCCTTCTGGGAAGGCCCGCCCCTTCTCGCTTCCCCCCCGAGCTCGCCGCCGAAAACTGAAGAACATTCGAGGGCGCCCTCCCCCAGGAAGCACAAGAGCATCCAACAAGCACGAAGAGCATGAGGACACCCTCCTTTGACAAGACCTCGATCGTGCACCCCGGGCCTGCAGCATTCGCAAGCGAAAACCACCCCAACGGAAAGCGAACGGCAAGCGAGAAACCCGAGGGAGTGCGGGGGGGGCGCCGGCCTCGTCGTTGAGGAAGGAACACGCCCGCTCGAACCCTTGCACACAATCTGCTAGAACCTACTCAGACAAGGCCTGGTTGGGGAAATCTGAAAGAGGAGGAGGAAGAGGGGAACGGAGGGCAGATCATCCATCCTCATCATGACATGACAACCCCGACACGCAAGACCTTGCGGCAAACGCGCCCAAATAAGGAATCGAACATGGCAGTGCAATTGAATAAACGCACAAGGCCGCTTAGTAAACGCCAGATATCGGACCCGGGTGGTTTTCTCCTCCCTTGAGAAAAGGAGGACCAGCAGCAGCACGGGCGACGTTTTGCTCAGGTTGTATGCAGACCTCGGTGTCTGTGTCTGCCCTGCGGCTCTCCGGGGGGCCCACATCCTGCCAGCGGAACTGCGCCGAATATTGGCCTGGGCAGCGTCGCTTACAGGGCAGTATCTAATTCATAGGATTTTCAAACATATAGGATTTTACATACATGATCAATGTAGGACTAAATCTGTGCATGAACTCATCGTTGGTTGTTTTTTTAAAGAGAAAAAACCCTGCATTTTTCATACATGATCCGCACGCGGAGCATGTATCAAAAACGGCACTGTACAGTCGGGACGTTGACCTAAGGAACCCTAAATAAGGAACGAGGCCCCTTTTTCCCATCAGTCAAGGTTCGACTTCCCATCGAAAACCTGAGGAAAACCTAGGGCAAGCTGTGAAACAATCAAGGAACACGGAGCCCCTCCCCAACGAAAAGGGTTCCTTCTTCAGCGCCCCGACTGCACGATCGTCTCCGAAGGCTGGTGGCCGCGCCTCCGCACACCAGGTGCGCACCAGCTCAGGCAAAAGAGGCGCGCGGGTGCGGGCGCCGCGCGGCGTGAATAGAGAGCAGCAGAGCGCACGAACGTTCCACGGGCACGTGCATCCACGCGTGCTCCTGCGACAAAGCTCGGGGATGGACAGACCCCACTTTCGTAAAACGTGGTATAGTGAAAACGGCCTGAGGCCCAAACCTGGCGGGGACAAGCCTGGAAGATAAAGGCCACGGCACTCTCTCGAGAACCGAAAACGGACAACTCACTAATCGACGTGTCACTGTTGGGGGTTCTGTCCACCCCCGACAAGTGCTCCAGGCAGAAAGCTCCTCTCGACGGGGGCATGCACACACAACAAGCTTAGAAGATGCGACCATGCAGGGCTGAACCTAAACGGTGTTTTTCGCTTTCATGTTGCTTTCGTTTTCCCTCGTGTTGTCCTCAATCCGCCGTGAACGCAAAACGACAACGGAACGAAAACGGCCCCCGAAATCGCCCAAACACCGTCTAGGCCCACCCCTGCGACCATGCCCCCAAAGCAAGTCTGCGCAGTGCCAAGGTCAGATCATGCACGCAAAAGCGAAATGCAAGGAAGGGCTGGTGCCGTCGTGGCGTCGATGACACAGGTGGCCAGCTCGCCTGCGGAGCAGGAGGTGGGCGAGGACGAGGGGGATGAGGAGAAGGGCTCCTGACCTACTGGATTGCACTCCGGACAAGGTCCTGCCACCACGCCCGCTTCACCCGTGCGTGCGCGACCACAGGCAGCCGACCGACGACGAGGCGCGGCACCGAGAGGCAGGAGCCAAGAGACGCTGCGGGCGGAGGAAGAAGCCGAACGAGCCGATGGAGGAAGCGGGGGGGGGGCGGAGGAGGAGGAGGAGGAGGAGGAGGAGGAGGAGGAGGAGGAGGAGGAGGAGGAGGAGGAGGAGGAGGAGGAGGAGGGGGGGGGGGGCTCAGGGCGGAAGCGCAGGAGGGAGGGGGTGCAGACGTGCGGCGCGCACGCCCCTGCCCCCCGCCCCACCATGCTCCCGCCCATGCCAGCCTCCTCCCCCGACCAGGCCCCCTATTCCCTGCCCAGCACCTCCCCATCCACCTTCTCCTCCACCTCCTCATCCTCCTCCGCCTCCTCCTCTTCTTCCTCCTCCTCCTCCTGCTCCTACCTGGCCTGCCTCACTGCCCCCATCCCCGTCCATCTCCCCTGTCACCTGCCTTGCCTCGCCCTTCCCTGCTCCCCCCCCACAGTGCGATCATCTTCACAGCGAGTTCTGACCGATGAATGCTCGATTGCATCGGAAGCCTACGAGAACATCAGGCGAGGATGCACAGGATGTCGTTGTTGACATGCTTATGCCATTTCTATGCTGTGGAAAGTGCGAAGCCAGTAGCCAGTCATCGTGATCTTCGAGGCGGCAATCGGCTCTTCTGGAGAAGTTGGCCGCGTCCAGGCTGGTGCTACAACCTCAGCCATCATGCGTGCAGAAAGCCCCCTCTCTTCTGTGAAGCCTCGCTTGTTGACACTGACTACCTACCAGACCACCCCAACCCAACCCGAAGACCCGAATTTCGGGTTGGGGGGGGTATGGGTTCCATATGTGTTTTTTCGATGTTCCCCGACCCCCCCCAAACTGGAAATGGAGGGCAAATTGAGGCCTTCGGGTTGGGTTGGGGTGGTTTGGTAGGTGGTGAAGCCAGTACTTCGTGAAGCCCGGAACGCGAGCAACGCACTGCCCAAAAAGCTGGAAGCACGCACGGCTGGATTTACGGCCGGAACGTGCGGAAGGCACGCGCTGGGTGCACGCGCGGAGGGCCGGCGTAATTAGGTGGGCAAGCGGAGAACTCGAGCGCGGCCACGTGTGCATCCAGCCCACGCCCAGGTCAGCCACGGCACGCGTACCGAGCCTCCCGGCAGCAAACATGCTGCGGCTCCACACCCTGCGGGGTCGCGGCTCTGCCTGCGGCGTCGGCTCATACAAACACCCCGAGCTCCGCGAGGCGGGGGCTGCTTCTCCTCCCCCCTGGGGGGCTACACCGACAATCCGTAGGGTCGGCCAATTTTGAGCGCCCAGTGCGAGCAACGAAACAGGGTGTCAGTTAGCCTGGTACTCCAGCGGCTGTTCAGCCACCGAGCCTGCGCCTTCCTGTTCCACGGGGGCTCGCCATCAGGGACCCCACAGACCTCGAACTCGAGTGCCACCTCGAGTCCCCCCCCCAATGCGGAACAAAGAAGCTGGACCCCAAACCCCTCGGTCGCTCACCGTCCCGCTCCATCCGCAACTGCTTCTCGTACGCGGGGTCTGTGAGGTTCAGCGACACATCGAGCCTCAGAAGCGTCCCACGTTCCAAGCCAATCCATAACCAAATCTCGATCCCGATCTAATCGGCCCGATCTATCCCAAATCGCGGAACACTTGTTCTAGATCCACGCGCTTGCGCCTAGACGAACACCCAGCGGGCCACCCGGCTAAAAAATATGATCGCAGTTTAGTCAAACACCTAACGCCCAATAAAACAACACACAACAGCACACTGGTCATACGTCAAGAGCGGGCAACCGTAGAAGACGTCGCCGTCCAGATACTTATCATAAACCTCTGGCGAAGCGACTCGGCAGCACCGAGCCACGTCGACTTCTCGCGCACTGGCAGCACGAATCGAGGATCCTCCAACATCCTGACGCCTGCTTTCGCACTCCCCGAGGATAGCCAAAAGAGGAGGCGCTTGCCAGGGTTAAGTCGGGCCTGTCCCCCATACAGGGGGATTTTCGACGACATATATAAAAAAACCCAAACATGTACCAAAAAGGTCAAACAATGCCCAAACAAAAAGACCCAGAGTATCTTTGGACAAGCTGTGGAGTATTTTTGTGGTATTTTTTATTTTTCGTCGAAAATCCCCCTGTAGGGGGACAGGCCCGACTTACCCATCGGTCGGAAGAAGTAGGTAGAAACATGAAGTAGGAAGGCGTTGGAAATAGATTGGGTTTCCTCCATCCTCCTGAAGAGGAGGGAAGAGGGAAAACCACTCGACTCTTGAAGTAGGAAGGCGCTGAAAGTAGATTGGAATCTGGGAATCCCAAAATACCTACTTTCAACGACCGATGGGTAATGCCAGGGTCAGGGGCACCCCCTTGCTCAGAGAGCCCACGTGCCCGCCGGACTCGCCGACGCGGACCCCAGCGGGGGGGCAGCGGCGGCGACGGGGGCCTCCCAGAAGGCCCCCCAAAAAAAGGCGAAACATCCCAGACCCCCTCCTCCTCCTCCTCCTCCTCCTCCTCCTCCTCCTCCTCCTCCTCCTCCCCCTCCTCCTCCTACTCCTCCTTTTTGCATCCTCCTCCTCATCCTCCTCCTCCTCCTCCCAGAAGGCCCCCCAGAAGCGCAGGGTGTCGGTGTGCGTACATCTGCCTCCTCTGACCCCCGCGGCAGCCGTGGACGTGCTGCGACACTCTGCAGGGTGTGGCGTCCAGGACGTCTCCGGCGACTGGCGAGGGGCAGCCTTCCGCAGGTGATCGTGCCTTTTTGGATGAATTGTTTTGCTGGAGTGAATCATGTATTAACTCCAGCAAAATTAAATTAACTGTTTAAATTGTTGTTTAATTAAACTAATTGTTAACTTAATTTCTAAATTAGTGTAATCGGCGCGGGCCCCAAAAACCCCCCCTCCCCCGTGGAGTAGATCTCGGCTGTGTCTTGGCGCCGGTTTCGAGCGGGTGATGTCTCCCCCAGAGGCCGCACTCTCGCAAACAGTCGCACTCAGCAGAGGTCTGGAGCCACACCACCACCCCCCCCCGCCCCCCCCCCCTTGCCGCTCAATGCCGAAACGCCGAACAAACATACGCTCACCATGGAGCCCCCCCTCTATGCCTGGAGGCCTCCCGAATGAGGTCGGAGAGCAGATGTCGGCTGCACACAGGAGCGCCCCTGGGCAAGAGGCGTCCTCCGGTGCGCGGCTTTCGGGGGCCAGGATGAGGCCAAATCCAAACGTGTTGGCCAGTCTCGCTGTCGTCGTTCAGGGGCAGGGTCGAACATCCATTCCAGCATCGAGAGCTCGAGGAGAGCTTCAACACGGCGGCACCGATGCCGCCGGGGGGCCTTCGAACTCGAATGCTTGCGGGTGAGCCTTCCTGACCCAAGCAAATGAGCCACTCGCAGTGCCCCTCTGAAAAACGTGAGACGAGGCCGGCACGAGGGGGAAGGAGGAGGACGACGATCCTGGGGGGACCCCTGTGAGCCCGCACCAAAGGTCACTCCAGAGAAGGGTCACTCTTACGTGCAGCCGGAGATCGGGTCGGAGGATCGCGCCGAATCGCCAATGCATCGCCGGTGCATCGGCGATATATCGACGACGTCGACGACGCCGTCGGCTTGCAGAAAATCGGGCTCCACATCGAGCCGTATCACCGATGCATCGCCGATGTGGCGAGATCTTCCAAGCCGGTCCACTCGGACCCCTCTACTCCAGCCCTGGGATGAGGTCGGGCACGTCCTCCTACAGGCGGATTTTGGACGAACAATTAAAAAACTGTCAAACCATGCACCCAAAATGCTCAAAAAGAGTCAAAACATCGCCCCCTGACAATTTGACGATTTTTGAGCGTTCCTCCTGTAGAGGGACAGGCCCGCCTCAACCCTGGGAGCGAAGATCTTATCTGGCCATCGCTCGGACGTCCATTTCCTCTGTTTGTTGTTCGGCCTCGTGCGTGGCTGTTTCGCCACAGGATCGAGGATGCTCCTCGAGGGCCCTCGCCGAAGGAAAAAAGTGCACGCGTCCGAGCGAGGCGCCAAGTTGTGCACCACCCTCCCTGGAAGGCCGAGCTCCGCCCTCGCCTCCGCGCCCAGGAAAAGGACCCCCCCCGCGCGGGGGCGGGCCGCAGCAGGGGAGGAGAGACGTCGACTCGACCCCCGCAGGTGGAGGACCTGCCCCGCGGAGGCATAGGTCGGACGTGGGAGGCATAACAAGGACGAGGTGGAGGAGCAGGGGGAAGGAGGAGGAGGAGGAGGAGGAGGAGGAGGAGGAGGAGGAGGGGGGATGAGGAGGGGGGCCTAGGCCCCGCCGCGTGGTGCTGTGGCAAGTCATGGCGGCCTGCTCTTTCATCTTGCCGACTCTGGCGAGCCGACGCTGGCCGACGCCAATCGACGCTGATGACGCTGACCGACGCTCGATCGAAGCTAAACGGCATGGAATCGGCGCTTCCTCATCGATTGCCAGGCGCCAGCAATCCACAGGTGAAACTCTGAGGACGTACGAGGCTCCCACGAGCTGTTGCCGAAGCCGGGTGCGAAGGTCGGCGCGTCGGCGCGACAGCTGCGCAGGCTCCTCCTGAACGAGCGTCGTGGCACCAGCCTCCACGGCATGCTGCCCGAGACCGACGGCGGCTCTCTGCTCCATGACGTGCTGCTCGAAATCTGCCCCTGGCGGTTCCTGGCACGTCGCATCGGCCGCCGCCTCGATGCCGCGCTGGTGCGCCGACACGGGTTCGACGTCGAGGAGCCGGTCGATAGAGCGAATCGAATCCCCGAGCGAGTGAGAATGCAAGGGCTCCCAACTTCGCGCTTCGCGCTGCGCGAAGCGCGAAGCGCGCATCACTTCGCGCTCTCGCGCCGCCTCCCAGAAGAGAAGGGGAGGACGAGGAGGAATGGGAGCCGAACCGCGAAGCGCGAAGCGCGAAGCACTTCGCGCCCTCGAGGGCGCCCTTGGCTTCGGCAGCTTTTTTGGAGGAGGAAGGAGGAGGAGGAGGAGGAGGAGGAGGAGGAGGAGGAGGAGGAGGGAGGAGGAGGAGGAGGAGTGAGGAGGAGGAGAGGAGGAGGAGGAGGAGGGAGGAGGAGGAGGAGGAGGAGGAGGAGGAGGAGGAGGAGGAGGAGGAGGAGGAGGGAGGGGAGGAGGAGGAGGAGGAGGAGGGAGGAGGGAGGAGGAGGAGGAGGAGGGGGGGAGAGGAGGAGGAGGGGGAGGAGGAGGAAGGAGGAGGGGGGGAGGAGGGAGGAGGAGGAGGAGGAGGAGGAGGAGGAGGAGGAGGAGGGAGCTGCACACCTCGAGGTCGGCAGCGACGGGCGCCCGCCGCCGCGGGGCCGGCGCGTCGTGCCCTCGAGCGCGCCGCGGGCCGGGCGGCGGCATCCTCGGGCGGCCGCCCCGCCTGCGCCGCGTCTCGGAGCTCTCGCGCCGCCACGCCAGCTCCGCCCCTATGCGCCAGGCCAAAAAAGATCGCCGCTCGGGCCAAGGAGGCGAGCTCGAGGCAGGGTGGCTGACTCTGGAGTCTTCCCGCCTCCTCCTTCCCCTGCAGCCGCACCCCCCTCGCATCTCCTCCTCCTCCTCCTCCTCCTCCTCCTCCCTCCTCCTCCTGCTCCTCCTCCTCCTCCTGCTTGCCTCCTCCTCCTCCTCCTCCTCCTCCTCCTCCTCCTCCTGCTTGCCTCCTCCTCCTCCTTCTCCTCCTCCTGCTCCTGCTTGCCTCCTCCTGCTTGCCTCCTCTCTTCGGCGAAGGGAGAGCCAGGAAGACACCGCAGGACCCCCGTCTGCATGGGGTGCTGCGTTATTCCAGACTTCTCGACACCACTGGCGAATAAATCGTCGTCGTCGTCGCCATTGAGGGTCGGCGGCACTGGCCATAAGTCCTTCACAGTAAAAAGCGGACTGCAGGCGCTCCCGCCGGGGAGGAAAAGGAGGAATACGATCGGGGTCCTCTGAGCCTCCGGCGACTCGTTCAGCGCGGTCAGGGCCTTCCAGGTGTCCTGTCAAAGCGCGGTCAGAGCCGCCGCCGCCGCCTCCGCCGCCGCCGCCTTCGTCGGCGTTGTCGTCGTCGTCGCCGTCGTCGTCGTCGTCATCGTCGTCGCCGTCGTCGTCGTAGTCGTCGTCGGAGCTCCCCACCATCGGTCCCTCCTCTCCTCGCGCGGCGCTCCGCTGGAGGAGCGCACCCCACATCCGCTCCAGGCCGCGAGGCGCGAGGCGCGCTCCACCTCCGCGCCAGCCCCCGCTGCTCGGCCTGGCGCTCGGGCCTGGCAGCAGAGGGTCGGGATCCACCGAAGGGGGGGGGGACCCTGAGGGGGGGGCGTGAGTTCGATCCGCTGGTGCACCGAACTGCCGCAAACAGATACCCCCCGCTTGCCGCACCCATCGGCGACAATCGGGAGCTGCAGGCGGCTGGGGGGGTATCTGTCTTGGGCGGTCCGGTGCAAAAACCGATCGAACTCCCTCTCTCACACACACGCACACACACTCACACACACACACACACACACTCTCTCACACACACACACGCACGCACGCACGCACGCACGCAC